CTCTAATAGTTAATTATATAATATAGAGTAAAAAGAGCTCTAAAAAGGCGTAGGTAAGCTTCTATTAGGCTGCCTAGCTAACTTAATATAATAGTCTATAGCGCCTTTATAAGAGAGTAACTCTAAAGTCTTAGATTTATTAAAAAGGTTCTAAAAGTCTACTAGCTTACTAGAGAGCTCTATTATAATAGACTTCTTAAATAGTATAAAAGTAAGTATAATAGAGCATAGCGTATTAATAGTAAGAGTAAGTTTATAAAAGTTTATTACCTATAACACCTACGCTATATCTCTATTATTTTCTATATTCTATATAAATATAGATACTATAGATACTACTATAGGCCTAAGCTCTAAGAGAGATAGGCGCGTAGTAGTTTTCTTTATAATTATACCTTCTACTACTCTAATACAAAGTTTACTCTAAAGTATATTAAGAATAATACTTTTATAGTATATTTATAGTTTTTCTAAAATAATATTATAGGTAAGTTCTAGAATAATATAAGCTACTAGCTATAATGTTTAACTATCTAGATTATACGTTATAGCTATAAGTCTAGTAATATTAGTTCTCTTTAAGAACTCTATAGCTTAGTAAAAAGTTTAAGAAAAAATTATAATATAATTAGCCTATAGCTATAAAGCTACTACCTTACTAATAGTGCTATAGCACTTACACTCTAAGTCTACTAGAGCCTACACTACTTTAACACTATCTAGTAGTAGTAAAATAAGAAATAAGCTCTTATCTATAAACTACTAGATCTTATAGATATTATTAGTAAGAAGGTTACTTATAAACTTCTCTACTAAGTTAGCGCTTACTTACTTTTAGTCTAGACTTAGACTAGAGGCTACTAGTTTTTTAAAATACTATATTTTTCTTCTATTATAGTATATTTAAACTCTACTACTTATAGTATAGTTACGTTAGTGCAACTTTAGTAAAGATATCTCTACTTACTATAGTAAGTGTAGACTTTTAAAGCGCGCCTAGCGTTAAAAATATTCTAGAGAATCTAGTTAGCGTAGGCGCTACTTACACTACGCTCTAAAGAAGTACTAGAAGTCTTTATAGCGTCTATATTTACTATCTAGATATTACTATTATAGTTATAAGCTAAAGACGCTAAGAGCGTAAAGTTATAATATAAACTCTCTACTTTAGTAGTCTTAATATCTACTATAATAGTCTTATACTTCTAAATAGCGCTATTAAAATCTAAACACTAAACGCTTTAGTTAAGAGTAACTACTTATATACGCTTATTAAGCGCCTAGCGTAGTTTAGTAAGCTTCTAGTTACTACTCTAGCTAAGCTTATCTATTTATATAAGAAGCTAGCTAAAGTAAATAAAAAAGTTAGTAAAGCTTTACTTTTTACTTTATTATAAGTAATCTAACTATACTTAGGCGTACTTCTAGAAGTGCTAGTTACTATAATAGAACTTAAGATACTCTAAAAAGGTAATAGAGTTCTAATAGTTTTATTTACTAAGCTTATAGAATAAAATAACTTTACGCTATACTATAATTAAAAGAGACTACTAAATATAAATAAACTAGGCCTTTACGTCTCTAATAAACTTCTAGTCTATATCTAATCTATATTCTATTATAATATGCTATAAATAAAAGTATATTCTATTACTAGTAAATAGCTTTTCTAGAAGTAAAGCCTTATAGTAAAAAGTAGAAGCTACTATAGTAGTAGAAAGACTTAGAAGTAGTAGCACTATAGCTACTAAGAAAAATAGTGTAGGTACTAATAAAGTTATAGTTATAGTAATAGATAGTAATATTATAGAGCTAAACGTAGAGCGTATTAAAGTAATAAGGTTACGTAGTTTCTTATTCTAGAAGCGTAACATTACTATTATAATATAGTTCTAGGCCTATACTTTATAGATAGCTACTATCTACTTAGAGAGCTAATAAAGTAATATAAGAAGAGAGACCTCTAGAGACTCTTAGATATTCTATACACTAGGTTCTACTATTATAATACTTAGGTATAGCGTATAAAAAAAAGAAATATAAATATTATAAACTAGTCTTAAAGTGTAGCTATAATAAGCGTTAGTAAAGATATTATATTTCTTAGAGAGAGAGCTTATAGTAAGCCTTACTTTATATACTAAGCTAAAGCTTAGATAAAGCCTAAGTCTATTATATAGAAGAACTTTATAAAGCTATTAGCGTAGAGTTTAATACTATTATTATTAGTAATAATTCTTTCTAGAGTAACTACTAGAGAGCTATTAGAATATATTTATAAAGTATTTTAGTACTAACTTATACTTCTTTATTATCTTATTAAATATTATAAAAAGAATCTTATACTATAGCCTATATAAGTGCTTAAAGAATATATCTATTTACTAAATCTTTTATTTAAGTAAAAGAATAGCTTATTAGTCTAAAAAGTAGTAAATTATAATTCTAGTAGTAGAAAAGTTAATAAAGTAGATATAAGCCTAGATAGTATTAAGAAAGCTTTTAAAAAGTAATTAAGTAGTATCTATTTTTATTAGATCTTAGTGCTTTATTCTCTATTTATATATTATACTCTTAAGTCTAGCTCTAAAGAGAAACTTAATTATTTTCTTTTACTAAATAATCTACTTAATATAGAACTTATTAGTAAAAGCTATACTTATATTCTTTATAGATTTAAAGCTATACTTTTATAAGTATACTCTAAGCTATAAAGAGCTAAAAAACTACGCTAGATAGCTATTAGAAAGCTTTTAAAAAGCGTTTTATACGCTACTTACTAACTATTAAGTTTAGTATTAATATTAGAGCTAAAATCTTTATAATATTATTAATATACTTATCTATAAGCTTAGTAAAAGGTAGAAAAATATACTTATATTTTCTAATAGTAATAAGAATATAATAAAGGTAGTATATAACGTTTTAAAAGATAACTATATAGAATTTAGTATTAAGATAAAATTATAATACTAAGAGCGCTTAGTCTTAGAGATAGTTATAGTTTATAAAGTAATTAGAACGCTTTTAGAAAGCTTTTAAATAGTATATTATACTATACTTTTATTCTCTTATTAATATAAAGATATAAATATTATAATAACTTCTAAACTTCTCTTTCTATAGTAAACTCTCTTAAAATAGATAAGTAAGATACTTAATATTAATTTTAGATAAAATAGCGTAAAAAAAGTACTTCTTATCTACTTAGTTATACTATCTTTAGCTACTATACTTTATATACTAGAGCTTATTCTCTATTAATATCTAAAAAGCTATTAAAATATATTCTAATAGCCTTTTAAGTTAAATATTTTTCTTACTTATTTTTTTTATTATTTAAGAATAGAACTATAATTTTTTTTATATAATATATAGGCTATTTCTACTTAGAACTAGTTTTAAATAAAAATAAATATACTAAAGCCTATTAGAATACTCTCTAAAAGTAATCTAAAAGCTTTTTATAAATTTAGTTATAAATTTCTATACTTAAGTATAATTATTCTTTTTTAGAGTATTTTTAAAGTATTTTATTTTATTATATAGCGCTAGTATTACTTTAGAGTAAGTATACTTTTTTTTAAAAAGCTTTTAAAAGTATAAGTAGTACTTAATACTAAAGTATTAGTACTTCTAGTATACTACGTAGTATCTAAAATAAGAAAAAAATATTAGATACTTTTTATACTTAGTATATTTTATATATTAAAACTAAAGAGTATTTAAATAGCGCTTTAAAAGCTTTTTACTATAAAACTTATTTATAATACTACTACTAAAGTACTTTTTATTATAGTAGTAAATTCTAGAAGCTATATAATATACGCGTACTTTTTTTTAGTTATTTTTAAGTATATTAAAATTACTATAATATACTACTTAGTAGTTATAGTAAAAGTAAAACTATTATTACTTTTTATAGTAAGTAAAATAAGTAATTTACTCTAAAAAGCCTTTAGAAAGTATTTAAAGTACTCTTTTTTAAAATACTTACTATATTTTTTACTATATTTTTATTTATAACTTCTTTATTAATATAAGCTTAGTAAAATATTAGCTTAATATTTTTAAATACTCTATTAGTTAGTAAAGTAAGTTATAAGCTTAAGTTAAGTACTAAAAAAAAAAAATAGTATTAGCTTATAGTTACTTAGTACTTTATAAAGCTCTTAAAAAGCTTTTATATTACTTTTATAGTATTCTTTTTTATTTTTTAATTCTATATAGTACTTTAAACTATATTAAGCTAGTATATAAAGAATAGTTAAGCTAATATAATATAAGACTTTATTTATAGTAGTATATTTCTATTTTAGGTATATTCTAATAGCACTAACGCTAATTCTATAGTTAGGTGACATGCGAACACGTGATTATTGAAGCCCCGCGCGCGGCGCGCAAACCTTAGTGTATAACATCGCGACATCTGGCACGCTTGCGATGATATTGCTACAGTCGATACCGCGAGCTGCCACCGCCAGATTCGATTATTATCTGGAGATGACTCCGACACTACAGTCCATAAGGATGTTAACTCAACAGAGATGGTCTCGAAGACGTTCTCTTTTATCACAAGCGCGAGACTGCATGTTAAAGGGTGGTGAAGCATTCGAAGTGCACAGGGTAAGATGCATCATCGAGGTTCTATGATACTACAGATTCGGTATATGGTACAGTTTCCAACCACCGTGAGAGCACCCGCAGTGAGTTGCGCCAAGTAAACCTTGGAACAATAAAATAAACACAACGCTGTGAGCTATCCAGGACCAGAACATCCACCCCACCCGGCTATGTTCAGCCCTATGAGAGCCTGCCCTTTCGGGCGGCTGGAACTCAATAGGGCTGTCAAGCCAGGGTGGAGGGGAAAATACCAAGGATAGCAAACTCGATCCAAACAAATATAACCAACTTCCTTCAATGCTGCCAGAATGCAACAACCATGCGGAGTCGCGGGCAAGCATCTTAGCCCTCAAAATATATCAAATAGACCAGGTATCCTAATCCTGGGTCGGCGCCGGCTTCGCTTCCGCCCTCGTACCCAAACGTGAAGGCCGCTTGCCCGCCTTGGTCTGGGCTACAAGACACTCCTCGTTCTGGTAACGCTCATCTCCTTCGTGCACGTTGGGACACTTGTTGCCCTTGTCGCAAGTGCCGGCAGCATAGTTAATGCATTTCTGCCGCACACATTTTGTTCCTGATGCAGCACAGTTTGAGCATGGCTCGCCTTCGTCGCATTCGCCTTCCCACCAGTGACGGTAGCAGTTCACACACGGGACTTGATTCGGCTCCGTCGGACCTGGCGTCTTGCGTCTCGATCGTCCAGAAGGTCCAGACGGTCCAGGTGTAGAGCGGGAAGAAGCTCGAGTCGCTCGTCCCGGAACAGAAGGCTGGCGTGAACTGTTTCTGCTAATTTCCATGATGGGCTCTTTCTGGAGGCTCTCGGACCCATGAGACATGTCTCCTGAACCACTCTCGTACGGTTGTGAGTGATTGCGTGAATGGGTTTGGTAGCTGCGCTGTTGAGGCTGCTGGAAGTCGGCTTGGTGCATCGGAGGCGTTCCATTCGAAGGGAGAGTCGAGTTGAAGGCCGTCTGAGTGTTGTTATCTTCTGTGGGAAACCAATCGCTGACATCATGTGCGTCTCCGAGGTTTTGCTGAGAACCAACGTAAGCAGCACCAACATCTTCCGTAAGTGCGTTAACATCGAAGGTAAAATTCGAATCCAACTCTTCCATGATGGGAGCGTAGTTTCCCGCCACTCTCTGGTTCGTACCATTTGTTGATAAGTTCTGCTGCTCCAAGTTCTGTCTCATATTCCAGTTTTGCCCAGTGGGGGGTGCAAATTGACTCGAAGAGTGTTGCGCGACGTGAGGTCGAGGCGACGCCACGGAAGAAGCTGAGCCGTAGGAAGATGTACGTCTCATAGACCCATGCGCCGGTGTCGACATCTGTGACCGGATTTGCGACTGAGCATCTCGCTGCATCTGTTGCATCATGAAGTCCCCGTCGTACGAGTTCATGTTGCCGGCCTGGTTGGTCATTTGCTGACCACTTCCCATCTGTCGACCGACCTGCGGAGATGTGCGCATTAGGCCTAAGTTATGTTGAGGGAATCTAGGTGATTGGCTGCCGGCGTTACCCGCAGCCAAGTTCTGCATCAAGTGTCGCTGCTGCTGGGGTGACATGTTGTTGGGTGTGCGTCCTGGAGGCGCGGCCATCATGGCACCAGGCTGTTGCGAAGGACGCCGGGCGGGTGCCATCTGCCCTGCTGAGCCAGTCGACTGCTGTGACGAGCTTCGTCCATGCATGCCATTCGGTGCGACATGTCGAGCTTGCCTCTGCATTTGTGCGTCGCCCATGATAGTATCGCCGTTCGACCATGTGGTTGACAAAGGGCTCATGGCATTGGTATCGGAGGGAAGTGAGTTCGAGTGCGCACGGTGGAAGTCTGGTGTAGTGATACCGGCAGCACTGTGTGTATTAGCGATAGCTTCATCCATAGAAACGATGTAGAACTTACCCAGCTTCGTTAAGCCTCCTTCGCTTGTTAGATTCCAACGCGCCCCGCGAAGAAGCCGGCTGGCTCCGTTTGGGAGGCCTCTGAGCATCGTCTAGTTGTTGCCCGGTCATCGCAAGCTGCTTGTTGGCAGCACTCAGCGCAGCTTCAGCTGCAGAAGCCCTCTGTATGAGACTAGTCTGCTCTGAACGCCATTCAGCCTCTCTTTTCTGTACGTATTCTTTCGCTTTCGTCTCAACGCCCTTCTTCATCCATGCGACATGTGCGGTCGCCTTTTCTTCTATTGTCTTTCGGTACTCAGCGTTCTCACTCTGCTTTGCTATGGTGGCTTCTTTGAACCCATCAGCCTTGGCAGCAGCGACGCGAGCCTCGATCTGGTCCATGGTCGACGCATCGGCTGCGGCTTTCGATTTCTCTTTCTCCGTGGCGATTTCTTGTCGTAATTGTGCGATCACGCTCTTCAGATCCTTGTTGACGTTGCCCTGCGTGTCCCTGTCGGATTTAAGCTGGCCAATGATCTTATCAGACACCTTTTTCTCCAGCTCTTTTTCACGTTTCTCCTTCTCTTTGTCACGTTTCTCCTTCTCTTTACCACGTTCAGACGCGAGGTAGCCCTGTTGAAAGACATCTACCTGCTTTGTGAACTCTGCAGTGACTTCTTTGGACCATGCTCCTCTGGCTCTTTCTTCCTCGAGCTTAGCTATAATCTCGTCACGACCCTGAAGAATGCTATTAACACCAACAATGAAGTCCGCACGCTCCTTGTCCATCGTATCGATCCGTTTCTTCAGATGACGGTTCTCGTTATTGGCGTGCACCTTCTCTGTATAGCGGTTTTGGGCGCGTGCCTTTGCTGCTTTCGTCTCGGTCTCGGCGGCTGTGGCACGCTTCGCGGCATCGATGACTCTTTGCTTCCCATCCGCGACTTCTTCGACAAGGTGCTTCTTGGCTAGTTCAGACTGAGCAAGGCGCTGCTTAAGGGCGATGTTCTCTTCGGAAAGTGAGACCGTGGGCGAAGTAGCCTCCTGGGACGTTTCTGGAGTGGGTTGCTGTGGCTTTACGGGTTCGGGGTTCGACGGGCTCCCTTGGGAGGTGAGAGCCGAGGGCGCCATAACAGTAAGACCGATCCGGGTGCGGGTAATCGGTATGAAATGAAAATGCACGATCAACGCGCGGGGTAGCAATGTGTGACTGATGCGATGATATCGTGGGATTGTGTTGTGGTGAGTAGACAAAGGTCGAGGTGAGACGTAGGTAAACAGTGCAGGAAAGTGCGAGTAGAGGTGGTATTTTGGCGCTAGTCGCAATCTTGTTGCGGAAGTCGAAGTGAGTGTCGGATTGAATGCGTCCAGTGAAGGTGAAGGCGACTGCGCTGCTTAAAGATGGCTTCGCTTTAGGGTTGGCAGAGGTCGGCTGTAGATGTGCTGCGCTGTCGAGTCGCGAGAAATTTTGTGGTGCTGGTTGGAGTACCAAAAATGAGAAAATCGGTGGTTGTTGCTGTTGTGCGCGGAAGCGATGGGTCGGCTGTGGTTGAAAAATCGTAGGTCACAGAGGATCTAGGCGGCACACAATGTGCAAGATCGCGCCTCGCGGAGGGCAGCCGGTCATACAACTCAGCGTACAGTCGAGGGTATGAGTTATAAATGCGAACCAGGTAAGCGTGCAGTAATGGTAAACGAGGCAGAGCTGTTCCGCTGAAGGCAGCACGGTATTGGCGGCGATAACGACCTCGCAAAGCCGACCATGTGACATTGGCTTAGAGAGTAGACGCTGCCCAGGTGCATTACTCACAATGCCTCCATCTCGTAAACATGAAATTGACCGCACGATACTACCAAAGTGACTTCTGCAGATGGAATATTTGTCTTGCCGTCTCAAACTTCTAGACACCGCTCGCCATCCTCTCTGTGACGAATGCAAAAATCCCACCCACTTCAAGCTTTACGGTCGCAAGCAGATTCCGTCGGAAAGAGACATGATGAATAGACGAGCAGAACAAAAGCGTTGTGAGATTGTACCTACCATGTGTGCACGGCGCTGTGCAATGGATTGAAGCCAGCATCACCTAGACTGTACCGTAACCGTTACAGTATATTCAGTGTCTGGACGCCTATACAAGAGAAAGCCCTGTTTTTCGATGGTCGAAATGCAAGGACACTACCTGGCGGTAATCAAGACCTCTTCCTCGCCGCCATCAAGGTTGGTGAGGCACCTCGGAGAAGTGAAAGTCGAGCTAGCGTTGAGTCGCATCCTCTCCGACATGGCTCGCAACGCGATTTTGAGCGCGCAACGCAATAGCGCAAGATGACATGCATGCGCACAGTAAAAGACCTGCGCAATAATCTTGGCCATGATACTTCGACCGCGTGCGATATCGTTCGAGATCTGTGCAGCCTTTGAGGCAGACTTCGCGTGCGTTGACAACATGACGTCATGAGCATTGCATTTGTTCGCGTGCCGCCGGTCGGGAAATCCGGGAGTCATGATACATAGCGAAAAGTGAGAGCGAAGGCATGGTGTCTCAGGAAATAGAAGGGATGCAGGATGGGATTGAACGTCGGACGTGAGAAGAAGCTCGCAACACGCGACGCGACTGCCAAGGCTGACTACCTAGGTAGGTTTGCCGATCCCTTTCCCTTCCCCGCCACTCCCCTATGCGCGTCATTCCGACGGACCCTTCCCATCATGACAGCTTCGTGGTAATAACTGCGGTCTTCATGCACACCCCCTTGAATCGATTATTTCGCCCTCTATTCCATCCGTCGACCACCAGATCATGGTTCCAAGGTTGTCTGATTGAGTTACCGGAAACGCAACACCGACTCCATGTTTGATCAGCCATCCCCAGAGCCTACGGACAGCGCTTCATCACAGGTTAAGCAGCAAACACGTTTGTTTGAGTATGGCGCATCATCCTGGGCTGTCGGCATCCGAATGTTCACCTGAGCACTGTCCAGCACAAATGCATCAGCTATTCGAGATTCGAGCGCCACGCGCTTGACCAGCTCACATATTCGACGTCCATGCCAGGCCCAGAACAGGACTACGACAGATTTTGATGATAGTCTAGTGAAACCGTGCGAGATCGGGCACGAAATGGGACCTTATGGGCTGTAGTGTACGTGTGGTCGAGCTGAGCGCCATTGGTGGGCTCGGAAATCTGATGGCGTCTCCAATGAACGGTCAGTCCGATATCAGTTATACAGTCGAGCTCCCTGTCAACACGGCCGGCGATGGTAGGCCTTACTTCTGCCGAGCTATCGGCGACAGCTATTCGCTATGTTTCTACGTTGCTGACGGTCAACGGCGTGGTAAGCTTACGCCCCAATGTAGACCCCGCTTCGTCACGTCTTCGTCTACTCAAGGTTGGACCCAGCGTGCGAAGCCCTATATGTACAAGTATTCGCCATAACATTTGTCCTTCGTCCCTTTTACTTGTCACTATACTACTCTTTGCGCAATGGCTACCAAACGCCCTATCAACGAAGCAGACATCGCGGAACTTCGCGAATTGCTGAGAGATACAGACGCCCAGTTGGTGACACCGAAGGAAACTGAGGCATACACAAAATCCATCCACCGATGGTCAAGTGCTGCGGTGAAGCCCGCGGGAGCATGCCTAATCCCCAAATCGGAAGAAGCAATCTCAATCACCCTCAAGTATGCTACCGAACACAATCTTGATCTCGCCGTCAAAGGAGGTGGTCACTCGACTGCTGGCGCATCATCAACGGACGGCGGACTACTCATCGACTTGAATACGCATATGCGTACTACCAACGTCGACGTCGAGGGAAGAACGATCAAAGTCGGCGGAGGTGCCGTTTGGGGTGATGTCGACGAAGCTCTTGCACCGTACGGTCTTGCAGCAGTTGGTGGCACCGTCTCAGATACCGGCGTCGGTGGTCTCACGTTCGGCGGCGGCTTTGGCTGGCTCACAGTCAAACACGGACTGGTTGTTGACAACCTAATTTCATGTACTGTCGTTTTGGCGGACGGCAGTATCGTCAAGGCCTCTACCGATGAAAATCCAGACCTATTTTGGGCTCTGCGCGGCGCGGGACAGAACTTTGGTGTTGGCATTGAGTTTGTATTCCGCACCCATGAGACAGGCGATCTGTGGGCTGGCTTCATGATGTTTCCACCGACGCCAGATATCATCAAGAAAGCCGTGGAAGCATGCAACGCCATCTTCACCCCGGATGCAGCTGGCAATTCAAAAGCGACGGGGAAAGCTGCGAGTGCTTTCGGTTTCGTCAGGCCTCCACCTGCTGGTGGTCAGGTCCTGTTCTTCGTAGCCGCGATCTACCACGGCTCGGAAGAAGACGGCAAAGAGCTATTCAAGGATATCGTTGGGTTGGAACCTTTGATGAGTACCATGGCAATGATGCCGTACGCCAATGCAAACAAACTCATGGATCTACCCATCGGTGCGCGTGTCTCTATCAAGGGCGCTGGATTCGAGCTTCCTGTCCGTGGCGAATTCGTGGTATCCGTCTTGGAGGCGTACGCCAAATTTACCGACGAGACATCCGATGCAGTCGGCTCCCAGGTTATGTGGGAGCTGCTAGACCCGACGAAGATTGTTGAAGTCACCAACTCTGACATGGCCTTTGCGAACCGCGGAAGACACTTCAACGCGGCAGTTGCTCCATTGTGGTGGGATCAAGGTAACGATCAGAAATGTAGGCAGTGGTCGAGGGATGTCGCGCTTCTGTTCAAGAACGAACTTCAACGTGGCGGCGCTGAGGCAGGCGCGAGCAACGATGGGTGGATTGGCAAGAGAGGCAGTCATGGTGCGACAATGGTATATGGGAACTACGACCGTAAGTACTCTCCAAAGCGTGCACTCCTCACTCATATAACGCGCATACGGGAAAGATATTGTTATGCAACGGTATGCTAACGCCGAAATAGAGTACGAAGAGAAGTCCAGAGACGTCTTTGGCAACAACTACGAACGTTTGCAAGATCTGAAGGCCAAGTACGACCCACAGAACATGTTCAACAAGCTCTTTGCTGTAGAACCGAGAGCGTTGACGCCCTAGATGTACTTGGATACATTGTTGCCAACCTCGCTAAATGTAGGTGTGCAATGATACCCAGGACGTGACAACTCATGCGCAGGATCATTTCCATCAACCGAAAATCACTTGTCGCCTCCAAAGCCATCTTTCCTGTCATGTAACACAGCTCAAATTGTATATTGTATTCCCAATACTGTGCTATCTCACATCTCTCTCGACGTTTCTCATGCTATGTAGTACTAGCGAGCTATCGTCCGTCTACCAAACACCCATCTTGTCGAGCTCGACAGGACTCAGCTCACGCCCATCACCCCATACATCTTCGGAAGGATCGAGGCGCTTGTATATCTCTCCTTCATGTGCAAAGCGGCACTGTTTGTTCTTGCATATGCCCTTCTTGTAGTCTTCGCACGCAACTCGCCTGCAACCTTTCTTGATGCCTCGCATCGAGCAGTTCTTGCATAGAATCCCGCGGTCGCAGTCCCAGTTGTGTCGCATGCACTGGGTGCAGTGTGCGAAGCGTTCAGATTTGCCTTTGAGGTGCGCAGGAACGGATCTAAACAGAATTAGCCATGTAAGTAGTAAGGGCTGTCGTGTACTAACGCAAGGCCTTTTGCAACAACGGCGTTGTCAGATGACTTGAGTGCGTTGGACTGGAGAGCAAGCGCATGCTTCGCAGCGTCGGCCAGCTTCTTCGGTAACTCCGCCCTCTCGTCCTCGAGTTTCTTGACCAGAGAATCGTGCGCGTCATACATGACCTTGAGCTCCTTGGCCTTGGCATTCACTTCACTCTGAAGTCGCTCCATCGTGTGGGTGAGTGTCTCGATCTCGGTCTTATGCTCGTCGCGCATTTCTCCAAACAGCTTGCCGCAAGCGTGAATCGTAGACTGAAGCTCTTTCTTCTCCCGCATGAGACCATCGACCTGGATACGGAATTCAAGCTTTAGGTGCCACATATCCTTCTCGTGGTCCAGCTTCATCCTCTCTAGCTTTTCCTCATGCTTGGCAGCTGCTTCTTGTGCTTCTTTTCTCAGAAGATCTTTCTCCTTTGAACGTTCCACAAACGATCTGTACTCCTCCGGTAAACAACTCTCACGTGGTGCCGGCTCGTTCTCCTTGCGTGTAGTCGGCGGGTTGTTGGTGCCAGCGTTTTCCATCTGTCTCGGCAGCACGTGCCGGCTTGATGGCGTTACGAGGGCATCGCGCTCAGCCATGATTGGCAACTGAAGGAGGGTTAGCTGTGCTGATACAGTCAATCGTGTGACTGCGCGGCGAGGTTCGGTCGTGGCTGTTCAGTGTTGTAGCTCAGACGGGCCACGAGTATTTCGTGCCGGGTGCACCTTCACTTGTGCGGCCCTACGCGCAAGCGAGCAAACAACAAACAACAGCCGGTGAAAGTGAAAGAGAATTAGGTCGCGCCTTGATAATCCAAGACCATAGTCCACTCTCTTCCGCCACCACCTTTGCCATCTAACGTCTTCCGCGGCCGTTCTTGCCAGCGACCACCCAGCCGCACCTTCCCCATACAGCTCAAAGACAAGGTATTCCTCCGCTTTTCACCCAATTCGAACGATGTCGCTAACAGCAAGCCCTAATCTCAGCGCCACCATGTCCCTCCCCCAAAGCCCAGTCGATCCAGTCGCTCGCCTCGAAGCAGAGCTCGCGCAAGAGAAAGCCGCTCATGCGCGCACGAACAAGAAGCTGGAAGCCATTACTCATCTCCACGCCAACCAGGCCATTACTATCAGTTCCCAAATCGGCATCATCAGGTCGCAGATCCAGAGGCATCCCGAAGATATCGCGGACATCCAGGTAGAAGCCAGGAAAGCGGAGGATGAGCGCCAGCGCAGGACATCGGAGGCGAGTGCGATGGGAAATGGGCCGTAGAGGGCGAGATCGGATTGTGAGAAAAGGTCTCAACGGCTATGCGCATTATCTCATGAGGCATATGTAGCGAATTGACGGGGGAATTAAGGTTGGGCTCGTCAACGCGCGGGAATGATACAGTATAGTAGCAACGACCCAAACAATCTATAAACACATACTGAGTATCGCGCTGCAATTTGGAGAGCTTGAGTACTACACTAAAGGAATGCGGTCATGTGCATGCATGCCAGTGATATATCTCACGTGACAAAGCTACCCGCTTTCGTAGCATAATGGTTGGCTAGCATCTTAGCGCAGCGTTCTGACTCCTCGGTTCCACGCTTCTTTGACGCGTTCAATCACATATGACCAGGGAACAAGAATACCTAAGTATGTACTTAGATCGTACGACTTACTCATTCCTCTTCTATCGTCCTCACCATATCCAATCTTACCGACTCCATCACAACGTAATCACACGATGGACCGTAACGAAACAGATACTACCGGCTACATAGCGCCAAAGCCAGTCGCATCCGAGGAGGGCAGCCTCGACCACGTTCTGGACGTTCTGGCATCGCATCAACATCCTTTCCTACTCGTTGGATGCGCGGCACAGCGATGGATGGGGTCTGCCGGAACAATGACAGATGTATGCGAAATTCTCATCCGCCACAACACGCTGAAAGCCGTCGCATCGGATCTTCTAGCCACTTCAAGATGGACACTCAACGAACAAGATCCAGAAGATATTTTTGGCAATGACCCAGTATCGAATTGCGACGCTGATATCGTTCTCCGGCAAACATCCACCGAAAACGAAGACGAATTCTGCTACCTAGCTCTTTGGTCCGATACCGCATACCATCTCGACATAGATAGCTGTATCACTATCGAGGTTCCCGACGTGTACTGTTGGCAGCCTATCCTTGTCGAAGAGACTTGGCATCCAGCTCTGCACCGAGAGAATGAATGGTGGTATGGTCCTCGTGTGCATCCAGATACGAAGGCGCCAAATTCGCCTCATGGTGCGCATCCCAAATCCATCTTTTCCCCCGGCTTACCGCGCGGCAGAAGCGCAAGCCACCCAAGTCCCATTTTCGTCCCGAATCTTACGACCTATCTCGACTCACTGATCTACCATGCCATCCACTACAAGACTACAAAACCGGGTCTCTGGGCTGTGTCGTTATGGGTCCTGAAGAATCTGACGAGATATCTGTATTTGGAGCTAGAACATCAGCAGCTACCGCTGCTGATTGAGCTGGAAGAGTATGAATTCATGGAAGCCTATCTAGGGAGATATGTGAGAAAGCCAAGGTTTGTTTTTCGTAGGGACGAGAAGAGAGAGTTTGAGGCAACCAGGGTGAGGGAGTGGGATCCTAAAAGCTTACCAGAGTGGTGTTGGACGAACCCGTGGACAAGTAGGGATTGATAGACGAAATCGGATAGCCCTTGAGGCTGCGCGCTTATAAAGATAGTTCATTTGCTATTACTCAATAGACACCATAACTTGTGCCGTGTGTGTGCCTATAGGGAAAATGGAAAGGTAAGCCGTCACCACCAACGGTCCGAAGACGCGCCTCCGTATACTCAACACGGGAAGCTGACCGCATGCCGATGAGAAGCCTTTGGAAGAAACAGCGAATGTCGAGGATGTAGGTAGGAAGGATAGTGCGGTATGCGCTTGCACTCGGCCATCATGCTGACGGCACGTGACTTCCTGCCACTTGGGCGCTAAGAGGTTTTGACCCGAAAGTGACGTCACTCTAGGTGTCATCGACTTGTGCCTTTTCCCAGGACCATCCAGCATACAGCCCGTGATCGGCCGCGTACATCGGACATCGTATTTCGTACAACTGGTTTTCGAGGCAACGCATCCCAAGGCTCGCAGCGTTTGTTATAGCGGGAATCGCAATATGCATGGCCAACCCTCGATGCCTGCGCCTACCCAGGAGGTAATGGAGATACTAATCACGCAAACCATATTTGATGGAGAGCTGTCAAGATGTGTCAAGGTGGTTACTAAACGCTCGAGGAAACTTTGATTTATGAGCGTGATTACTCACAGGACCTGAGACGTAGCTTCACGACAATCGGGCCTACCATAATAAGGTGCTTATGGTAAAAGGAAGAGGCATCGTAATCTTTATGCCGCTTATCGGCCCTCAGCACAATCAGTTTCTCCCGAGATGCCTCCAAGCTTTGATCTAGCACAGTCCTGCTGCGGTGGATCAGGAAGATGGTCACAATGTACTGGATGCTCATGTGAATGGTTCCAAGAGATGTAATTACGATTAACAAGATATGCTAAACGAGTCTCTATTCTACAGCAACTCGCACCTTCGGGTATCATCCTCTCATCAACTCAACTAAAACTACATGATCGGATCTATAGCGGAGGAGCGTTAGGGTCCATCATGCACTGATCGACACGCATAAGCTGCTTGCCAGTAGCCTTGGCGATCTGAATGAACTCCCGAAGGTAGCTAACAGTGCTAGGGTAAAGGTAGTGGAGAACCACAAGGTTACCACCCTTGTCAACGTCACGCTGGAAAGCAACCTTCTGCTGCTCAGGGGTGTCGGTCTCAGCCCACAACCAATCCTCAACATCGACGCTCCAGTTGACAATCTTGGCGGTGTTGCCGACGGCCTTTGTGAGACGCGAGCGCATGCGGGCACCCTCGGTACCGAAAGGAGGACGGAAGTAGGTAGAGGTCAAGCCGTTGAATTGCGACTTCATGGCCTTGACGTCCTCGTTGTACTCCCAGTCGATGGATGCGTAGTCGGGGAGACCCTCCATCTTGGGGTGGGTGAAGGAGTGGAGGGCGAGCTGGTGACCCGCTGACATCATCTCCTTGTAGACGTTGGTCAGGTTGGTGGAGGCGTCGAGAAGGGGAGCGCCGACGGTGAAGAAGGTCACCTTGACGTCCTCCTCGCGGATGATCTTGAGGACTTCCTGGGCGAGGTCGGGTTGACCGTCGTCGATGGCGAAAGCGAAGGAGTTGGGGCGCTTGCAAGCGAAGACTAGGTCACCAGTCTCGTCCTTCTTGGGAATGGTAGTACCGGCGGGGACGGAAGAGACAATCTCGATGACCGAGAGGGTAACAGACTCAGTGCTGTGGAAACCCTTGAGCGCGAAGCCGACGACGCGGGAGAGGTTGATGTTGAAGTGGCTGATAGGGATGTAGATGTGTCCGTTCTTGGCGTAGCGGCCGGCCTCAGCGGAATCCCAAGTCTCGGGGAAGGGAGCGATCTCGGTGTTGCACTGGCTGTTGTGTTGCTGGAAAGCGACAGTGAAGGCAGTGGTACCGGTGTAAGCGATGTGGAGGTAAGATCCCTTGTACTTGGTGAAGTCGGCACAGCCACCAGACACCTGGGTATAGTAGGAGTAGTCGGCGTCGGGGGACTTGATGGTGAGCTTGCCGCCAGCGTACTGGAGAGACATGCCCTCGTCACCACCGTGCCAGTTGCCCATGGCGTTGGTGTTGGCGTTGGCGAACTTGTCAATCACAAGGCCGGTAGCTGAGGGGTTGCTAGGAGCGGGAACGGTAGCAGAGGCGCCGGGGTCGGCAGAGGTAGGAGGCACAACGTATTCTCCAGAGTTGCCGCAGTAGAAGGCCATGGGACCGAACGAAGTGGTACCAGAGAATCCGGAAAAGAGGATAGTGGTAAGCTTCTCGGTGTTGAGGCCGGCGAACTTGCTGAAGGGAATGGTGTACAGCTTCTCAGTCCCATCGAAAGTCCATCCAAGGTCAGTTGCGGACGCGTAGGTGGACTTGGGGTTGGTCGCGTCACAGTTGTCCGAAGAGTCGAGCTGAACGGACAGGGTTGCGCCCTTAGGAGCCTTGATGCGAAGAGAAATACCGGCGTACTTGTTCTTCTTCGCGTCGACGCAGGGGAACTGGGTGTAGAAGTACGAGTCGGCCTTGGGAACGAACTCGACGTGGTTAGTAGACGGCTTTCCAACGGTGATGGAAGTCATGGAAGCATCATCAGAGGTAGGGTATCCCATGGCGTTGTAGAACAAGAAAGTCAGACGCGATTGAGAAATCCAGTCATCGATCAACAAAGGAGAGCAGGTTCCAGCTGAGGCCGTGGGAGACGAGATTGTTGTCATGGTGCTGCGGACCGAGGAGCTCGAGGTGGTAGCCACCCTGGTTGCGGAGACGGAGGTGCTGCCACCAGCACTGCTGCCGCAACCAAAGGCGATGTTGCTCATCTGCCATGTGGCGGTGGTGGAAGAGAATCCAGCCCAAACGAAACCGGTAACAGCATTGGCGTTGGCACCGGAGAACTGAGACAGAGGGATGTTGATGGTCTGAGTGCTGCCAGTCAATCCAGAGATCGAAACGTACTTGGAAGAGTAAGTCGTAGCTGAGCAGCTGGTCTTGGTCTGGATCTCGAGGGTCGCGGAGCCACCGGCAGGCCCCTTCATCTGGAAGCTGATGGAGTTGTATCCATTGGAGCTGGCTGCCTGGCAAGGAAAGGTCTCGTAAAAGTAGGAACCTGACTTGGGCTTGAAAGACAGGACACCGCCGCTGGCCGAGATCGAGGACATGGATCCATCATCTGCGCTGGTTAGCCTTTCTTCTTGTGCAGGGCTTCAACAAGACCTACCACTGGTCCACTCGCCCAAGCTGTTCTGGTTGGAGGTCTGCTTGGAGAAGTCGTCGATTTTGAGGGGTGCGCTGCAGGCTGCGTTGACAGTCTGGCTGGCAAGTCCGGCCAGAAGGCCTATTAGAGTAGTAACACGCATGTTAAGCGTAATAAAGCGAGTGTGTTGCAAAAGCGAATGTACGGAAGTCTATGACTTCCAAGAGTGATGAGTCTCTGCACCCCGAGTTGACGGTAAGGGCGATGAGTGACAGGCGATAACTCGTGAAGATCTTCCCAGGCGCAGACTCTCCCTAGATATATCTTTCTCCCCGACGCAGCGGCGCGAGACCTGACACGAGCGAGATTAGTCTAGTGGCCTCGGCATGCACGTCTTCGCGCAGCAGCCCTGTCGCTTCTACTAT